CTTGACTCTTGACAGTTGTTTGTTTGCTTTTCTCATTTCCATTTCTCTTTTGTGCGCTAAGCTTTACTGCCAATCGGAGTGATTTCATTCAGTGATGGTCTCCACTGGCCCAGATGCCTATTTAATGTGCTGAATTGGTAAAAACAAACCAATGACGGTGGACTAGTGCCAATAGTGCGAGACACACCACAAGACCTTGGGCGACACGTTCACTGATGGCCTGACGTTGACCAAAAGCCACTTGACAGCTTAGTGTGTCAGAGGGCCGCTTAATGGGTGAAGGTCTGGAAACATGTAGGAGACATAGAGGTAGGGGTTGACCAAGACAACAGAGGAAGGTAAAGACACAGATATGCTCCAACTTATAGCATTCATTAAAAATGAGTTGATTCGTGGCTGTCACATCCTCTGAAAACTAGTCAGATAATTCGAAAGGCAAACAAATGCATACCACCCACTGTCACTCTACCATGGCTGCCCTGCATCCTGACAGAAACAGGCATTTGGAGTGTTACAGTTGGTTGTATCAACATCATATGACAGTGTACTAACAACTCAGAAGCAGACTATGGGCAGCTGCTTTCTGCTGCAAGTGTGTGGCTGAATGGCATACAGCTAGATGAACTGGTAGTGTCATCAGAGACACGCATGCACTGTTCAACTGTCTTACTCGTTGTGTGAAGCGGACACAAAAATTTTCATTTATCGTCTGACCTTTCAGGCTGTTTTGTGATCATTTCGAGATGCAAGCAGGGGAGAGAAGCAAATATAGAATACCAGTATTTAAGATATGGATATGGTTGCCAAATAATCACTTTTGAAATTAGCAGTAGCAAGAAAAAATGATGATGTGTCTGACTAAAAATAACACAAGTGCGAGACATGCTGTTAAGCGGTGGCTTTTGCAGGATCACTTAAGTAGGAGGTTTATGTGAAAATGTTTCAAAAGGAGACACTTAGTAATTAGTACCAGACGTTTTAATGACAGTAAAACAGTCATCATATGGGCCCTAAAAGGACTCACTACAGAGTTTCTAAAAGTGAGACTATTACAAAAAGATATCTACTAGTTCGAGCTCTCTAGTGAATTAACTGGGGCTAAATGAAATGTCACTGTTTTTCTGTTGAAAAGTGGAACACTCTCCTACCAATAACATGTCTGCAACAGTTAGCAGTGTTTGCAGCTTGCAGACAAAAACCAACACAGGAACCAAGAATCTCTTATCACACGTCTGGTTACTTGGTACGGGAGGTGTGGTGCAGCAACAGCTTCAAGTCATCAAAAATACATCCTGAAAATCAATTACGAAATACCTTGGTGTACATGGCTGAATATGAGAAACGCAGCTTTAAGAACAGCCTGATGATCCGCCAGCCTTTCAGTCCCACACTAAAGTAATCATTAGGGGTTTCCCTTCAGGGCTGTACAAAAAGTACACAGGCTTGGGGATGTTTGATTTCCCTCAGTTTCAGACACCAGTGAGTAAGACAGGGTGACGAGACGATTGTTCAAAATTGGATGTGTTTCACATTTTAGAGTAAAGCGGAGATCACTTTGTGGCACCTTTCTTGTCAACACAGTCTATCAGCTGCTCTCTGCGTGGTGTTGCTTCAGTGGGGAGGATGTCACGTGTTGGCCCCCGTTCCGGCACACTCAGTCAGAGCACAGCCAATCTACTGTTGTGATAAGATAGTGTAAGATTGCTAGATTTTTCTAGCGAATGCCTGACTTCGTGCAATTTGAATCAAGTCTACAAATAGACAAACTAAACAAATTAAGTATGGTCATAGTGACAAAGCAATGAAACAAACTGCAGCTGAGGAGTATATTGTTGTCTGAAGTTAGTTTTAAGTCTTACAACGAATATTGTTGTTATAAAGGGCTGGCACATGTGTGAAGTGAGGCATGAGCGTAATGTGTGAAAAAGCATCTAAAAACATTTCACTCACTGACACATCCTCCTTCTAAAGAAACATCAGCTGGCCTTAAAATAGCTGAATTGTGAGGGAGAGACAGTAACAAAAGAGATGAGTGTTTTCTCTGTAGCTCTTTCATATGTGTGTGTCTCTATCTCTAGCCCACTGAACAGCACTGGGATCTGAGGTCGATTTTACATAGTGGCCAAACATGGAGTTAAGACTTTCAGGTCAATCACGTGATGCCGTGTGGACCAAAGACTTTTTCCAGTAGAATTTAATTGTGACAGAGACGTCTGTAAATCACTGGATACAATTTTTAAGTGTCAAAACCCCAGCAAAAATGACTCTTTCCATTCAGCCAAACAACACTCTAAAAGTCTGGAAGAGCCACACGATTAAATCATTTTATCCCCATTCAGCATGGCAGAAGGCTAAACCGGACATTAGCTGCTTGGCCGCCGGACGTCACTGATATAACAACTCTATTGGCTCCGTGATGCGGAAGATCTGTGTGATTTCTCTCTCTGTCTCACACACACACTCACTCACTCACACACACACACAAACACACACACAAGCATCACTATCTATAGCCTTGATCATTTGTCACCCTTACTATGAGCAGACTGCCTACCAGGCTGCAAGGAACCTGAGACATGATAGGGGGATTATAAGGCTACTTTAATCTCCTTCTTAGCTGAAGTGGTTTACTAGCTTTGTAGCTAATGTCACTGCCTGGAGACTTTCTAGGTATCTGGCTCAGTTTCAGCAAGTTATCCAACCCCCATTTGTGCGAGCCTCTAATACTATAGAACTCATTATCTGTCCCTTTGGTAAAATTCACACTGGATAACAACTCCTCACAACTAGATTTATATTTTGCTCCAGCCTTCCCTTGTTACGTTTTTGGTGCCTTTCATTCATAACATTTGTGTAGCACGTCATACTGCATTCTGCTGTGTGCAGAGGCATTGATCTTTGTGCTGGGTTTTTTTTCTAGGTACGGCCCTGTTGCATGTTGTGCATGATTTAATCAACCTAACCACAAAGAATCATCATGCACAACAATGCTGTGTTTTAGGGAGGAACTGCAGATGTAGCACACACACACCGTTTCTGTCCTGCTAAATTCAGACAGCTGTAGAGATTCAACTAAAACTAAAAGAGGGAGGCTTTCATACAATCATAAAGAATCCTTTCAACTTTGCCTCAGTGCAAAGACAGGGGTTTTCTTGCTTTATGCTTCTGCTTTTACTGTTTGATAGAAATGTTTCTTCTGTTAATATATGGATGTATCAATACATATCAACTTTCAATATTTGATTGGCTTTCAACACTCCTTTTCTGCTGCACTTTCTCGCTCTCTCTTATTGTTAATGTCTGCTATATTCATTCTGCTGTTCTCTGCTACTAACTAAGATACGAAAAGTCTTTGTTTTCATGTTATAGCCTTGTTATGTTTATATTTTTATTAAAAAAAAATATGCCCTCATTGTCAAAATTTCCCTCTTGTATCGAAAATGAAATGGAATATTGATCATTTTCAATGTGGTGCATCAAAGTTGGAAATTCCAGTATCGGGACAACACAAGTCTGAATTCATCTACTGGCAAGCCCAAAGTCAAAGACCAAAATTTCCCCAAGACATCAGCCCATCACCTTGCGTTGCTGCCTGTCCAGGACTCAAAAGAAGAAGAGTTTTAAGGCTGTTGCTGATTTGCAAGCGAGGGACTTGTGTTCAGTCTTGTGGAAAGATAACGTGCATGCAGTAGTAATATTAGCATCCCAACAAGCATTAACAACATCAACATAGATCTGGGCAATGTATTGAAATTATATCATGATATGAGACTAGATATTATCTTAGATTTTTTTAATTGGAATGTCGTAAGCGTTTCCTGGTTTTAAAGGCTGCGTTACAGTATAGAGGTGTAAATTTCTGAACTTTCAACTGCTGTTATGTGCCTTTAATCACTATGTACACATTACATTATTCATCACAAATCTCATTGTGTAAATATTTGTTGGTCAGATCAATAGTCAACACAACAACATCATTGCAATATCATATTTGACTTACTCCATAAAGACTCTCACCTTAGTGTAAGACCTAAATTTCATCAATAATAATACTATAATGTTTTTTCTTGAATTCTTAAGTTTGCCAATGAGGTTATGGATACTAGGGGGGTTGATGACATGAAAATATTAACCTAACTTAAAGCAAAATACTAACACATACCCCAAACAGCAAATCCTCATAGTCCCCTAACAGAGAGATCTTTATACCTGCTCACCTTTTCCCAGTGAGAAGATGGAGATATAATGTCCATGCATACTGTTCCTTTGCTTTGTGACACTGGGCTGACGGATTGTACATGTTCAGTGTTAATCATACAGTGTTGATTAAGTTAATTACGAGCTATCTGGTGCACACATTACTTGAACAATAGTGCTTTTAGCCAGCGAGCTAACGTTAATGCTAGCTTACCTCTCTCATGTTAAGACACCACGCAGCACCCTGACTGAATTAAATATCCACTGACTCACAGCTATTTTAGTTTGGGCTTTAATATGTGGGGTAAAAGAAACAGAAAAATCACCCTGACGTTGATAGAAAAGTTAAGTTTAGCGAGCAACTCCGAGCTAATGTCACCCAACTTAGCTAGCTTATCCAGTTAGCCCCTCTTACCTTTTGTGGAAGACCAGCGCAGCAAAGCAACGCCAAAATGCACCACAGCAGGGCCCGACTGCTCACTGTCCAGTCCATAATTTCTGGTCTCAAACCGGGATAGACAGCTGGTCCGGAGGGCCGTTGACTACATAGAAAACGTGTATTGGCTCACAACCAGATGTTACGAAAGTGTTTTAGACCAACGCTGGGACGGTAAAGGCGCTGGGGCCAGCAGCGGTGGATACAACGTTGGATCCGCTTCTTCCTGAAATGAAAAGCGTGGGGGTTGGACTTTGGGATAGATATTCACAGGAGTGGAGGAGGGGGAATGTAGAGTCAGTGTGAGCCAATCAGAGAAGACCTACAGACACGGATGTGCTATAAAACACATCCGGGGCACATTTTATGCAGGGGCACACTTCTTCAGAGCACGCTTGCAGCAGTCCGACCAGTCAGACTGGAAATATTTGTATTTAACATGTTTAAAAATGTATTTTCATGCATATTTTCTAGTCATTATTATGATACATGATGTAAGATTGAAACAATATTTCTCCTAATATGATAAAGTATAATGGCGCGTGCTGGAGCCGTGGGACTAGGCCGCATCTGCGTGGAAACATGGGAGGTAAGTTTTTATATATTTTTTTATAACCTCGAAATGGCAAATGCATTTCATTACTTTCCCTTTACCAACAATATGCTGTCACATACACAGGGCAGATAATAAATGGATCCGTGCAGTGTGTTTGAGGTGATTGCACACACACGTGGACAGAAGGGTGGTGGCAAAGTGAGTATTTCTTTCTATAAAGAATAAAATATTTTATATTTTTTAGTTCATGAATGATGATTTAAGTGCGTTAGACTTCTGATGTGCAAATGAAGTCAACATATTTAATCTGACTTGACCCTAAAGCACCATTCTGGTGTGTGTATTTGTGTTTAATGATCCTGCTCACCATGATATTTTGTATTTGCAGGACATTGGTCTTGGTGTTGATGGATCCCTGCAGGAGTAACACAGTAAGTATCTCGACTGAGCAGAAAGTGGCATGTCAGGGTTATGAATGATGATTGTGATGCGTTAGACTTCTGATTTCATATTGAAGACAATCTAAAACTGACATAACCCACATACAGTCTGTAATGGATGGTTTTAATACCTGAGCTCATTCTAAGTTGTTTTCTTCTACAGAAATCAGCCTGCGGTGCTCACGAAATGGACAAGCTACAGTAAATTATAAGGTGACGCTGGGATTTGTGAATTAACATGTTTGTTTTTCCATACATACGTGACCCAGAAGACTTGAAAATGTATTGTTAAACAGTGAGTATAATGTCCTGTGTGAATAAAGCCTTTGTCAACAAGCACAGTGTTGTTTTGTTCATTTCATTTTGCTGTGTAGGTTTGATTTTTAGGCACTGTACTTGCAACCTGAGCGGCCTTTTCCTTGGCCACTCACACAGGTCAAGAGAGGTGCGAGATCATATCATGTCTTGTTATAACTGGGGTTTCTTGGCCATTTTCCCAAGTCTCTCTTTTAAAGCAAGACACAGAATCTGAATGCATGTCAGAGCAATAACTGCACAGACAAGAGGAGCATTTTGAATAAGCGTGCAGTGCTGTTGAGAGTAAGTCCCTGTTGACTGACACTGTATAACTACATGTGAATATTAAAAGAATCAATATAGTCTGTCAGAGAATGGGTTTCTTTTATAAGTACATGTATTTAACAGCATGAAAATCTATTCTATATTGATTTATTGGCCAATATTTAACATAAGGGAAGCAGAAAATTTGTCAATTTATCCACAAGTCTGTTGCCAGAATATTACTCTGCAACTATATGGATAATCAGTTTGGGATTTTTACCAGGATAAAATAAAACAGACAGGTATGAGCTTTGTTAATGTTAGAATTTACTGATTTTGTTTACTTGACTCATGCTTGTCACTTATACTACCATATTTTGACATTTTTACTTTGTGTATAAATGAAGAAATGAAAGGAGGATGAAGTACAATAGTAATAAAGGATACAAATTTAATAAATAAAAGGGGAAATTTGAATTTTTTTTTTGCACCTGTTATTGCTGAAATGATTGATTAGTCGGGAAAATAATTGACAGATCGCAGTCCCAAACATAAACAATATAGAAAAGTGATGTGATCTGATGCACACAGATGAATCCTCTCATTCTCATATGTTACAACCACAAAGGCGCACAAACTCTCTCCAAGCAAAAGGTTTTATTGATCCACAACGATCAGAACCATAACATTCTGTGACATCACTGAACACAACAGCAATGTTTGACATTTTCATCACTGTGCAAATGAACAACACCGAAACTCGTGAAAAACAAAGGGCGTGTCGAGAGAGAGAGAGAGAGAGACACACAGTTAATGGCACAAAGACACTTTCTCGCTATCCTCAAACTGATGCAACAAATGTGGTGGCTCACTATGGAGGAATGTTTATTTTAAAGGCACTTTCTGCCTCATACACTTTTGCCAACAAACATATTTAAATGTTAAGACGTGTAAAATAATGCAGCCGGGCGTCTTGGCAGATTACAAAGTTGCTGCTGTTCTAGTTTTAACGGTGTCGTTCCTATTGAATGTGTACAGTACAGAAAGAAACAGCAAATCAATAAATAATTCAACTGAAAAAAAAGCATTCATTAGATGGACGTCAGCTGACAACATTAAATAATATGGCTAATATGCAGTATGGAAACAGAGTGGGCATGTTTCCCTCTCCACATTAAAACAACTCACAAAAGGGATTCAGTCTCCTGCTGTTCAAACTTCGGCCTCACGAGGAACCCAAGATAATGAACCGATTGCTTTATATGTCACTGTTTACCTCATACAGTAGTCTTCAGACAGGACTGATTGCTTTGGCAATAAAAAATGAAAAGTTATTACTTTTTTAAAACTGAATATAACACGAAAAGAAGTCTTGAAGCATGTTGCGTAGAAGCACGTCGTCAGTGAATGAGCTATTCCTTGCACAGCTAGGGAGCTGCATTTCTATTTATACATTCATCAGACCTAGGCAATGTTCAGCTGCTGTGTTTGCAGATATGTTTTAAATCACCCCTCTAAAGTCAGTTTTAGCTCTAATCCCTACCACGCGGTTAAAAGCACACAAGTTGTATGGTATGATAGTGTGTCCATAGTGGATTTGAACTGACCTAGTGTCTTCGCTGGACACAGTGCCGTTGATCTGTTTGCATAAAAGTGCCAGGCGACTGGCACAGGCAGCGGTGTGGATGGGTGATCAATGAGTTTGATGTCCCTGTGAAATGTGTATCAATAGACGCAGGGGCTCTTTCAGCAAAATCGTCTCCAAATTTTAGTTCCCTCAAAAGTTTGCTCACTCAGACACACACATGCTTCATCAGTGGCCTCAGACTTCTCGTAGAGTCACAGCAACATTAAACCACTCCATTAGAAAGGTCGCACAAAAATGTACACTGTACAACGATCAGGTTTGGTGCAGCTGTACATCACAGGTATTATGGTTCTTCAGGTTGAATCCGATGGCTGTTTGTCGATCCACGCACATTTGTCAAAACAGTCTCGACATGCCCCATGTGTTGTATTTCATCAGAGATTGAATCATAATATTTAATGTCACTGTCACACAAATAAAACTGTGAGACTGGATGACAATCTATGAGTCATTAAGTCGCCACAGATGATCACGAGCTCGCCAACACTTGCAGTTTTGTGATTGCACTTCATGGGTGGCCTCAGACTGGTTGGGACTGGAACACGGGTAAAAATATTGGGCGAGTTGGTCCCGGCCCGTCGCTGCACCTGTGGGGTCTCTGAGAGGGGCGGGGACTTGTCATATTGCCATGGTGATAAAATGTACGTTGCTATGCACTTTGAACAGCAGTCTTCACATGTCAGAGACCTCAGACTCCTCAGGTTCTGGGTCCTTCAAGGCCTCATTTGTCACAGTAACCAAGTTGGCATTTGAACGTGTGTCCATGGCAGAGTGCATTATGGGTAGCCACACATCATCCATGTTTGGCATCACGAATATTTTCTGTGGAAGGGCAAGCACAGAAACAAATAAGGTCATTTTAAAGGAACAGGGTGTAAAATTTATGGGATCTAGTAGGGATTACTGTAGATTGCAACCAGCTGAAACTTCTCCTGGTTAGAATTCCTTCAGTGTTTATTGTTCAGGAGGTTTTTACCAGGAGCTGAATTATCCACAGAGGTCTCTTCCTCTTTAAAACAAAAAGACTCTGTGGTTTAAACTGGTAAAAACTTTGAATTAAGCAGTTTCACATAACAAATTAGTGTTTCTCTGGTGCTGTTTGGCATGTCACAGACGGGCTCCTAGCCCAGCACCTGCTAATCTGTGCTCACCTTTCATCTCTGATAACTGAATGTGTGTTCACCTTATTTCTGATCAAGACGTTCAGGAGGTTTTTACCAGGAGCCGAATCATCCACAGAGGTCTCCTCTTCTCCAAAACAAACAGACCCGGTGATTTAAACCGGTAAAAACACTGAATAAAGCAGTTTCACGTTAGAAATCTGTGTGTCTCAAATGCAGTTTGGCATGTCGAGCCACTAGCCCAGCTCCTGCTAATCTGTGCTCACCTTTTTTCTCTGATAACTCAAGACCAAGACTTTGAGGAGATTTTTACCAGGAGCCATATTATCTGCAGAGGTGTCTTCCACTCCAAGCAAACACGGTGATTTAAACTGGTAAAAACACTGGATAAAGTAGTTTTTTCAACGCTCTTGTTGCAGCTGGGCTTTTCACTGCAGTGGCTGATATCAAGAGCCAGTGTTTGGTTTGTGCATTTTGAGCTACTGTATAAACATGCTGATGCAACATGGCGATCCCCGTCGATGAGGACCTGCTCCCTATGTAGATATAAAGGGCTCTTGCTCAGGTAACGACAACACAAAGTTTCTTATTTTCAGATGTTTATACACCAAAGACAACATACTTAGTATATTATATTCCATTTCTGCCAATATATCCCCCTAAAGCCTACACACTGGACCTTTAATTTCTACAACAGAACTAAAATACGATTATTCAAAGTGTGTCTAGTAAAGGGAATGGAGCAGACACTACAAATTAATACACTTTTGTAACTAAAAATCTAGACTAAAAAAAAGACTGGCATGAGATTATAACTGCTAACAAGAAAAAAAAAGACCTGAATACATCATCTCCTTTGAATCTAACCCCACACTGTTGTGTCTAGAAACCAATGAGGCCTGAGTTCAGCATTTGTTGAAAGCCAGATGTATACACTCACTCACAGATGACAACAGTGAGTGCTGCAGCACTGTATTTTACCGGAGGGTTGGTTTAGGGGGGTGGTACATAATAATAACCCCCAGAGGAGTCAGGCAGGGATAAATGTAGATGTGTGGTAGACCTGACAGGGACAGTAGTTTGCAGGTGTGCCTAGGGGCAGTTATCTAGAGGCAGGCGTATCATTACTTTGGATATAAATGAGGGGGTGGGAAAGCCAAAGGGACACTGCTTTTAAGTGCTTGTAGGTGGGCAGCCATAAATTCATCCCATAGTCCTCTTTATGACCTGAAATCTTACCCTAAACATGTTGGGGACATTGTCTTATCTTGAGTCAACTTGCAGCCTCTCAGTCAGGCAACTGAGGTTTTTTAAACCACAAAGTTGATTGACACCCTGGGTTATGACATTACCCATTAAACTATATTAACAATGTAAGTAAATTGTATTTGTGGCAGGTTTTCCTCAGTGTATACCTGAAACTCCTGGTCCAGTTTCTTCTCAATCCAGTCTGTCACATGAACCAAAGTGACCTCTCTCTCGCCCAGTTTGGGCCGCGCTTTCAGCTCCAGGTGAGGCGGACTCCGGAAACCGTACCTGGCAGCCAAGAGGAAACATTCATGTTTAAGAATTGGATATACTCACACAAGCTTCATGAAAGCTGCATTTCAAGTTAAGTCCGCTAAATCCAATACATTTTCTAACTTTACAACACACTTTTTCTGAGGAAATGTGGTTCCTGACGTTTTTATCTTGTCACCCCTTAAAATGAGGCAGTCTACTTCTAACTCCTCATCATAGATCACGGCCTCAGTGTGTACATGAATCTTGGATTGTTTTATTCCAGCATTTTTAGAGTCCTAAAGTTGTAAAAGTATTCAGTATTCACAAGACAAAAAGGGGAAAAATCTAAAAAAAAAAAAAAAAACATTAAATTGTCCCTATTATGCTAATCATTGGCGATTTTTCTTGGTACCACTACCAGGGTTCCAACTCAGCTTGGGAACCACTGCTGTAGATGCTGATCATTATCATAATCATTTCTAAGATAGTCATTATAATTAAGCTTAAAAAGTATGCAGTGAATACTTAAGGATTCCACATCTTTAATGACAACACACACCGCGGTGCCCTTAATTCTTAAATGTTCTTATATTTAGTTCACTGGTGATTAAACATTTTCTGTCACTGTATGCATGTCTGTATTTGCCCAGCAGAGGGTGCTCAGCTATATTCTTTAACCAGGATTCTCACACACTCACTGACTGTATCCTACAGCCTTCAACACACTCCTCCCTGGAAGTGAACGTACCATATCCTGTCCGTGGGGGGAGGTGGAATGTTCACAGCCAGCGTCCCACGGCACTCTTGCACCTCCACGGTGAGTAGCAGGGGTGTGTTGGACACCTCCTCCATCTTTTTCTTAATGAACTCCGTCTCTGTGGCTTTCTGGAAGTACTTCGACTTGGCTATCTTGTCCACAAAGCGCATGATCTTGCTGGGCCTGTGGCCTCCCACATAGCTACGTGAGCAGAGGATAGAAACAGAGGAGGAGGGGAGGCAAGGAGTGAGTCAGGTTCATTATTTATTCATACCAGCATCTCTTGCTACTCAGCACCCACGATGGAAGGGAGTGACCGGGCGCTACATTAAATCAACAGCAAGCTTTCAAACGTGTGGGACAGAGTGGGTGGGTAGGTGGGTGGGTGGACTGAAAGGGCAGAACAGTCTGCTTCAACACATCAGTGTGGATCTGTGTCTGCCCATTTTCAATTCAGATGCGTCACGATGTTGTTGTAATGAGACATTCGCTCACCCCTCAGCTCCAGGAAGAATGGCTTTGTCACTAAGCAGTTCTGGGGGGTCCTCCTCATCCGATGAGCCGGCACTAGACGACTCTTCATCACTGTCTGCCAGACAGTATGTCCGTGGCCTGTGCCTGTCACACACACACATAAACACTCACTGTTGCAAAGTCAGGCTGTAATGGCTTTCCACAGAACCATAAACAATTAAAAGTTATTCTCATTAAATGCATCCCCACTGATTTAATCCAGTCTGTCTGTCTGTATGATCTTTTCGACAACTGATCATCTGATCGACTTCACACTTGGTGGGTGTATTGCTGTGAACCCACAGAAGTGCAGTGTTGAGTGCAAGCTTTTTAAATCCATGGGAGATATTTATAAGTAGTGCGTTATGTACACACTGTGTAGTGTATTGAGAAGGGACACATAATGCCTGTTACACCACTGCCCGCAATGTTAGGTACAGCTCGCTCTGCTTTGCTTGTTACAGCACATTCAAGAACAAATGGATAAAGAGAGACCGATGTTACCTCGTGGCAAACTCAAACAATACAAGCATCAGTGATAACAACTTTCTGAATGAGCGCTTTTGTTTTGAGAAATAGCTGAGCGCTGACTTCACTGAGGTCATAAAATGTTCATGTGAGCTTTCACACTGAAGTGACGCTTACACACAGGCATTGCTCGAGGGTGCAGGCAACTACATCATGGTAGGTGAATTGCTCAGAATCCAAGGTTCCGACACATTTCCGACGCCTATGCATAAGCCAATGGACCAGACATATGGTTATCTGGCAAAATAACCACATGTGACCTTGCCTGAATCTGAGCATCCACGATACCTCAATAAATGAGGATTGATCGCTGTCATGTCCTTTCAGTCTTCCACCATACAAGTGGATCAATGACTCGACACACATCTGTACATGTAAGGATGTGTGGATCATGATAGCTGGTGGTCAAGCGGCAACCTCCGGGGCTGAAAAATGGAGCCAACGTGTAAGTGCCAAAACCTGCTGTTCTTTAACAGAAGCGAGTCAATTAACATAGACCCCCATGTTAAAATGCCCAACGTTACAGCACCATTAAACATGTTTAAAGCCTGGTACAAAGACAGTAGTGTTGTGTCGTTCGCGAACAAATCGTTCAAAAGGAATAAAACAGGAGTCCACAAACCAATGGGTGACATCACAGTCGCTACATTCATTATTTTATACAGTCTTTGCTGGTGATTCAATCAGATATGTATATTTGAATGGATCACCAGGTATCATTGGGCTAAGTGCTGTCTCTACTGTTTGATCAATAGGCTGAGATTTCTTTAGAGGCAACAGTCTGATGCTGCTATACAGTATGACTTTACTGCAGCAGGCTCCCCCACAGGTTAGCTATCCATCAGTCACCAACTGTCACCTGCATTATTTAGCGATTCACTGCACTGACAGTAAACAGTCAGGATTTTAAATGCCTCAGATCTCAGTGTAAAAGCCTCGGTTTACCCACTACACCAGTGGTTCCCAACTGCTCCAGCCACGGGGTCCAGATTTCTCCTTAGTCATTAGTTCCAAGGTCCACACAGTTTCATATATATAGCGTCATACTTGCGTTTGGCCATGTTGTCGAGCTAGTTTGCTGTCTCTGTTAAGTAGCTGTCCATTAGTCACTCAATCTACAGCAGGAAACAGCACTTCAAATAAAAGCTCTGTGCTGGAAATTCACTGTACATGAATATAAAGTGTGTTTTTTATGAAGTTGACACGCTCATGAGCTACTTGTGGTCCATTCAGATTGGATCTGTGACCCACTTTTGGACCACAACCCACCAGTTGGGAACCACTGAATTGCACAACAGCGTTTTCACATTGTGATTTTTTTCCTTAAAATGGGGCGTGGCCTCCGAAATGACAGGATGCTTGTCTGGTCTATGTGTATCATGTGATACTTGTAACATTTCAGTGGTAATGCAGTGCAGAACTAGATTCCAAATTAGTAATTAAAGGAATGTATTTCACGTGACATTTGACATGTGTTGGGATATTCATGAACATATTTTAAACAACAGCCAAAAACAATGTATATTCAAAAATTTCCAAAATATTCTGTTAATTCCAAACCATTTCCAGGCCTGGAAATGTTTTTTTTCTGGAAATTTCTTAACTTGTCCATGATCCTGGGAACCCTGAGGTTCCAAGGAAGCGAAGTGTCTGGTGTGAAGTTGTTCGGATGAGCAGTTCTCGAAAAGCGGCAATACTTGAGGTCAAGCAATTGGCCCGTCACTAAAGGGCACCTTTTGAACGGGCACTGCACTAGTCTCTGATAATTCATCCAAGAAAAGAAAGTATAATCCACAACATAATGTGCTGTTTCAGTGACAGGCATCTATGCGTATCTATCTTCAAACTCACCAGCCATTCGACAAATCCACAGTGGTAAGCGTCCAGAGGATTCATATATCAAGAGAAGGGAGGAAAAGCCGACAGAAAAATGGCAGGAAATAGTGAAAAGACAGACGTGACATCTAATATGGTTCTAAATGCAATTATCATCCAGCTCTGAGCTGTTGGTTTAGCAAGGAAGCTAATCCTATAAACACCCTATTTTGGGCCTAGCCACTGAGAATTATGAGACAATGACAAAAACAAACACATAAAATCACTCTCAGAAATCTGTAATACATTTTAAAACCAGACTCGCTTTTGTTACGAACTTTAAAAGAGGAAATTGCTAAATGGAATTGAAAGCCTCACCATTCTTTTCCGTGCTCCCCGAGCCCCTCGCCCTCCTTCCCCAGACGGGCCAGGTTCATCTTGGTCTCTAGGGTCATGAGGAAGGAGCCCGTGTAGGAGACCTCCAGGTCAAACCACAGACCTGTAGAGATAGAAAGGGAAACCACACAGACATATTTTGTTTGAATACTATGAAATCATGCTACTTTACATCCCCAGCATTAAGAGCTGTGATTCTCTGCCCGAGCCCAAATGGATCCAACCCAGCCCACTGAGTTGGGGCCGAGTCAAGCTGTAGTTTCTCATTATTCCCCTGCGCTTGAATCTGGTTGGGTTCACACCAGTTTAGCAGTGTTTTTTCTTTAGTGTGAGGAGTTTAAATGGACTGAATCAATACGGAAAGAGAGAGAAAGAGATGGGGACTACGACTGAGAGTGGGAATGTGACAGAGCAGTTGGCAGTGTTTGCCTCTGCCTCTCCAGCAGTGGGAGAGATGTGCGTAACATGCAGCGAAGAGCGGTGATCACCGTATGCGCAAGACGTACAGAGGGGTGCAGCCTGCTCTGCTTAATGTAATGTTTATTTTTACATCAGAAATCTTGGTTGGGTCCAAAACTGCCGTGGGTCAGGCTTGGATAGAACTTGATGTTTTGGGCCTGATCAGAGCTCTACCAGCAGCATCAAAAATGACCAGCTCTGAATGCTATTTCTGTGGGTAAACATGAACCTCCTGCCTGGTGTGTAATTGCTGTGAGATCCCCTGCAGAGCTGCCAGGAGGAAGTCCCATCCTCTAGCAAACACTAAGAAAGGTCAGCCTCCTTATTGGCTTATCAGGGTTACTTCCCGTTTACACATTACACTTCTCAGGGGGCAACGGGAGAGCGATTCAGATTTCGATCCCCCCGCTGTTTGCTCAACGAATCCTAACGTCTATAACTGATAAGTGTTGTTTAGTAATCCTCTGCCTCGCTCCTTCCTCCTCTTCATTTTCCACTCAGATGCTCATTGATTTGTTTGTGTGTGGCAGCAGTGTCAAAGAGAAGCTAAATGACAGTATTAAGTCAGAACACGTTGGACGGTGTCTCTGTATGGAGTGAGACAGCCTGGAGTTCCTAATGAATTCTGGAGGAGTCAACATACTGTATCTGCACCACTAATGTAACCGTGTGCGAGATAATGTGCGAGATAATGCCTTGAATCCAAGTTATTGTAATAATATATATGAGCTTTATATTATTACAACCACACTGAAATATCTCAACAACTACTAGATGAATTGCCGTAAAACATTCATGATCCCGAGAGGATGAAACCTCCTGACTTTGGTCAACAGAAGCCCACAAGAACAGTGCCGGGCTTTGAAGCCATTGTGACACAGTGGCCAAACTGTGGAATTACAACTTCCGGGTCTATCACATGCAGGCGTCCTAGAGCTTAAAGGATAACTTCTGCAATCGTCAACCTGGACCCTATTTCCCCGTGTAAATTGATCAAAGAGATTGATGTGAACAACAATTTTTGATAGCCAGCAGCGGCCGACAGCCACGGAGTGAGCTGTAATGGAAGCACATGGGGCAATTAAACAGCGTCACTGTGGGTCCATTAAAAGTGTTTGCTAAGTGGATGCTATTAGCTAACGTGATTATGTTTATATTGTATAGCGTTACACATGAAAGCATGGCAGCAGGATAACGGCAAAAACAATCAATAAAGGATTAGGAGGTGCAAAATATCAACTGATTCAGCACTGATTGTAACAAATCTATATCAATTGATTAACCATTGTCACCAGCTGACATTCATATTATAAAATAAGTGTGTGTGCATGGTGGAAAATAGATTCATGCTTCTGTATTACACCGATCAGCCAAAACATTAAAACCACTGACAGGTGAAGTGAATAACGTTGATCATGTTGTTACAGTGCAGTGTTCTACTGGGAAACTTTTAGCTCCTGGCATTCATGTGGATACCACTTGACACGCAGCACCCACCCAAACACCACTGTGGACCTAGTACACTCCCCCAATGGCAACAATGCACTTTGATGGCAGTGGCTCCCCAAGCAGAGCAATGCGCTATGCCTCACTGCAAAAATTGGTCAGGAGTGGCGTGAAGAACGTGACAGAGAGCTCAACGCACCGACCTGGCCTCCAAATTCCCCAGATCCCAATCTGAGAGTATTGAGGAATATTCGTGGGACGTGCTCGTACCCCAGAGGTATCCCCGATCCACAGTGGGGCCTTTGTGGATCGGACTTGGCTCTGACATGTCAAGGCATGGACACGGGACCTCTGGGGGTGTGCTTTGGAGTCTGGCACCGGGGCGTTGGCGGTGGATCCTTTGAGACCTGACACTTGTGAGGCGGGGTACTGGCACGCCCCACGGATGCTCGATGAGATTGGGGTCTGGGGAATTTGGATGCCAGGTTGATGCCTTGCACTCTTTGTCATGTTCCTCGGACAACTTCTGTGCATTGTTTGTGGTGAGGCATGGTGCATCCTGGTTATCCTTTAAGCCAAGTCTGATTTAAGACTTTTAAATATTTTTTTTTAAATGTCATTCAGAATGAAATTTAAGACCAAGTTTCAGCAAAATTGGAGAAAAAATAACACACAAAAAGGGAAATCAATTACTTAGGGTTAGGTACAAATTTGCCCAAGTATAAAACATGACTTTTTTGTCTCATGGTGGAGACGAGGATAAAACAGAACTTGGAAATATGTGGCATTTGTGGACGAGTTTAGGGTAGGCCTACTGTATTTTAACATCAGCCATAATGGCTGAACTTGGAGAGCCTAATATTTTCTGAGGTGGTACACGGTTTGAGGACCACTGAAATATGTAGGCTAATACTGTCACATACACACTTCTTAACATTTTCATGCTCACAATATGATAAACCCCTCTAATGTAAGTTATAAACGCCTTTATTCTGACGCCACCCTCTGGCTATATATTGCTGCTCCTCAGCTTTTTGGTTCTGTTTTTTTTTGGTTTGGTTTTCTTTACAATGAGGATTACATTCTCACAAAACCATGTCATCCAGCCCTGTTTTATATCCAATCTTATCAACAAGTCTTAATGTCTATGTATTGAATAAATATATTATTTATTTAAACAGTAATGCTGAGCTCAATGCATGCTTGTGTGCATCCAGTAGGTGTTGGAGCGCAGTAAAAACATTGTAAATCAAATCATATCATCCCAACATTACAGAGTCAGGAAGCACTCACCCACTCTCTCTCCCTTTTATCATCATCACAGGAGAAAAGAAATATCAACAAGATGCGAAATTAGGAATGTTACTGCATCCTGTTGATCATGCGGGTTTACAGCGCAGCACTTCCAGAGATGCAGGGTCCCCTGGGGACTAATTATGTGCTGGGATCAACTGATTATGCTTTGTGAGTATATTTCTGTGGGTGTATAGGTTCAGACAGAACACATTAATGAGCACTGCAGACTCAGCCGTGGAAATGTGGCTGACAGCAGAATGACTCATGACTGGCTGCTTCAACCAAACAGCAACAGATATTACCATGTTATTGTTTTTATATTTTTAGAGGCAAGATTAAATTAGACTAAATCGTCCGTGGACAAACCCTTAATATTTAAAAAATTAGGACAGAAAAATACAAATATGGCATTAAATCCATATGAATTTAAGGAAGAAATACCAAGCTTCATTTTAAAAACCTCCTCTTTTGCTCTGCTGTCTGCTTAAAAGCACCACCTATGATTGCTTTCACAACCTGTTCCCATTTTTTCTCTTCTTAAGCTTTTTTTCTCCCCAAACCGGCCACCTCTGTAGGAATTAATACGCCTCACATCTCTGTAGTGTCTCTGTGTGTCCAACCAATCCCTTCGCTGATGCTCAAGGCAGGTGGGAGGCAAGGTGAGTCAGTGCCTCAGTAATGGATAAGGGGGACCCGAGACGTGAAGTTTAATTGCTGTGGCTTAATAGAGCGAGACAAGCAGAGGGGCTTGACTCCAAAAAAGAGAAGCAGAGAGAGTTGGAGAGAGGAGGAAATGTCTTAATCCAGAGAGAAGAAGAGCAAAACTTAGGGAATATGGAGGAACGGTAGGAGAGGGAGATAAAGGCGATGGATAGATTGAGGGGAAAGAAAAGTGAGAGCATATCTCAGTATGTTGTCAGAAAGGCAAGAGGGAGAACTGATAAACAGCCTGGGTTATGATGAAGGATGGAGGATGGCAGAGGAAGGGGAAGACGATTGATGGCAAAAGAATATAAAAATCTACTTTGGAGCAGACCAACACTGTGTGGAAAACATGACACACCTAGTGTAGCTTCCCCTCCTACCTTGATGGTCCACAGAGGGTTTGGAGGCATGGAGGATCTTAGGAATGGAAAAGCCCATGTCTAGCTCTGTTAAAGTCAGCTCGTTCATGACATACGGCAGCTGAAACACAGAAGAAAAAACATTTGGGTTTCAACACAAAGACAAAAAGCACAAAATCATCTCTTGAACTGATCACATTGGACCACTGGAATACACTTTCTGATTTGTTTTACTGTTGATATATCTTTGTGCAAGCTAGCACCCACCCTGATCTTACTGAGCTTCATCTGGATCTTTTTGGAGACAACATTGGCCCAGTACTTCTCTCCCAGGAAGTCCCAGAATATCCTTCCCACAAAAGCGTTGACCCAGGCCTCAGGCTCCACTGTCTCCTCTGAACTCCTGCGTATCTGAAGGACACAAGTACAAGTGCGTATTGTAGCTTCATCCCCTCAACATAAAATCAAGCTAATCAAATACAATCTATATCAAGCCTGGCTTCGATCCAGGCTCCATCTACTTCCTTGGCCCGATTAGTCTTTTGGTGGGTCATGTGGCACAAGCTTGTTCTTTTTGACCTCCCTTGTACAAACTCACAATATGCACCGATGAGCTATATATATATATATCTATCCTGCTGGGAAACATCTGATCCTGGAATTCATATGGATGCCTCTTGAAAGCACTAGCCACCTAAACACAGCTACACACAATGTATACCCCCCCAATGGCAGGGGCCCTTCCAGTAGGACAATGTGCCCTGCCACACCTCAAAATACGCTCAGGAGGAATGTGACGAAGAGCTCAAGGCATCAACCTGGCCTCCCATATCCCCAGATCCCAATCCGATCAAGCATTTGTGATACCCTATCTTGCGACCTGTGACTTAAAGGATCCACCACCAACGTCCTGGTGCCACACACCACAGAGGCCCCATCAAGGATTAGATTTGGTGCTGACCTGTCAAGACATGGACACAGGACCTTTGGGGTACTGGTATGTCCAAAGGATGCTCAATGGGATTTGGGGAATTTGGAGGCCAGATGACGCCTTGAGCTTGAGCCTCGGGCCACAACATTTAAGGTACTCTGTTGAGTTTTTTTTTGTAAATGAACAAAAGGTAGTCTACTGAGTGGCTGGTAGATTTAGGAATGCACCAACCTCAGTGGCAGGCCCCCCAAAAAGTTAATTTCCAACCCTGGGTATACAAATGTCTTCCTGTGCAATGGATGAATGACGCCTTTGCATTGCATTGCTTTACTTGACCTGATACCTGCCATGTTTGCTGACAATCCAATCCTGTCACAATGCAGGCAGAATGGAGATAACAAAGAGCGGATGACATTATCCAGATAATGTATCGAGATACAGATTACATGTTAAAACAAGATGTAAAATTCTTCTCCTTCCTTGATACACTGCCAAGTTTCTCTTGCACCATCAAATCCACACAAACAAAACGGGGCCCACCTAGAAAAACATTGCTCCATAGCGTTACTAGAGGTCAAAAACTTCACGGGGTACCTTTTAAAGGGACATGGGAATTTTTTAAAGTGGGGTTGTATGAGATACTTATCCATAGTCAGTGTGTTACCTACACTAGATGACGGTTGGCACATCCCCAGTTCGGAGAAGCAGACAGGAGTACTGCCACAGAGGCTAAGCAATGTACTGCTGTGGACACGAGCAGCAGCAAATGTATTTTAGCCACCTAAAAAAAAAAGGCAGGTTGTCTATTTCTTTTCAGCCTTTCATGTATCCTACCTTTTTGGTAGTTTTGGGGCTGCTCTCAGGGCTGGGCCCAGGGCTGTCAGTGGCAGTTGGGCTTCTCTGTGGTACCTGGGGGTTGACATATTTGGCCATGTAGACATTATAGTCCAACAGCATCTTCTGTTTCATCCCTCCAGCAGAGCCACAGGACAGAGCAGAGGGGGTCTCTCTGTGGCGAGTCTGAGACAGCTCCTCCAGGCTTCCCCGGCTGCTGCTCCTGCTGTCGGCCTCCAGGCCTCCACCAGACTGGGTGCTGCTACTGCGGCTGTGGGAGGGCAAGCAGGCTGAAAGTGGAGGGGAGGGGAGGGGAATGCAGGATGTGATGAGTAAGGGGAGGTTAATGTGATACAATTATGCCTCTGCAACATTTTCAGTGATTCAAATCAATGCGTCATATTTCACATACATAATGCATGTTCAAGGCCTTGGATAGTGAGCTTCTGTTTTTTTATCACATACTGCGACACCCTGAATCAGCATGCTTCACACCAGATGACACACTGCATCCTCTCTCTGACTCATATTAGCACTGAAATAGTCATTTTCATCATAATTGCTATGTATAACCACAAAACAGGCTTGATATTGAAAGTCATCTTTCCAGTAATCCTGTTCACCCTGCGCTGCCTTTATCACTGGACCCACACAGTGCTAGTGTTTCCCTTTGAATTGGGCCTTATCCATGCAGGCTTATATCCCACAGCGGAGACCAATACTATAATATGCTGCTTCTCTGTGCATGTAATCCTGCTGACCCATTCACACTCATCTGTTCGCTCAGTTGAGGGGATTGGCAGTCCCTAAGCTGGGGCTTATGCACAGATCTGATGGCTGTGCAGTTACATACTCAAGAGAATGGCTATTGTCACTGTAGGAAGTGATGTGTGCCAGTGCAAATACTGTATGTGTGTGGAAAGGGTGTGAGAGATAGTTAAACCCATATACTGTACATGGCTGCATCTTGGTATGCGATACCTTACTCATTTCAGACTCACCACTCTTGCAGATGCCAGGCAAACTGCCAACCCTCCCTTCTGACTTCATTCGTGACGCGAGAAGAAATCTCCGGAACCACTCCTCCTTTTCCCGACCCGTCCTCCCAAACAAGTAGATTGTCAGATCCCCGCCTCCAGAGGTTGGTCTTTTGGGTTCCTCTGCTGATCCTGATACCTCGACTTTCTCACATTTGTCCATTCGTTCCAGCTTCTCGTCCAGCCCTGTTAATTTCTCCTCGCCAGCTTCAGGCTTCTCACCCTGGGCTTTGGACATGAAGTCCTCCTGCTTGGCCAGCTCAATGCAAATGGGGTACTTCTTGTTCCAAACTCTCTTCCTAGCCAAGCTTTGGGGCACCAGGTAGATCTATGGGGGGCATATAGACCGAGTTCATACTATTAAACGCATGAAGATGACTATGTTAGAGTGTGTTGTTTCTGGGGTAGTACAATACCCGCATTAAAATACAGACAAAAAAAAACCTCATACTTAATAGAGCACAATGAAACTATAAATATTATGTGACAGACTTGCCCTAGGGTGTAAGTGACAGCAACTCTGGGCTTGAAAACCAAAGGAAACAATGCAGGTAGGAATACAAGCGCAAATCACTCCATTATTTAGTTATATTTCTTTAATCCAAAGCACAATTTGACTTTGACCAGCTATTTAAGAATATGTACTTAACTTGATAATAAACTCTGAGCACACTGTACTTAATTTGGACTGAGAGAAAACTAGACTTCTGCTTGGCTCTGTTTTCAAGGTAGGAGACATGAGACTTTTCCATTCACAGGTCATTTCAGGGAGAGGTTGGTCTTACTGGCTGTTCTACAAATGCAGAAGCACATACACAACCCTTCGGTGAAAGCCTGATTCGATGGCAGATATTCCTGCAGAAAAAGTTGCTAATCCAGCAGTGTCAGAAGCTGCCTACTCTGCAAAGCAATCCAAAAAGGAACAGGGGTCTAAAAGAGAGTCTGACTTTAAACAGAATAAAATACATGTCAGTGTCGGCCAAGCCTTTTCAGAGATAGAGCGAAAATAACGCTAATAGTTTAGCCTTCTGCTAACCTGACCAACAGGCATCAAGGATCGGCATTAAGTTCACATTCACATGGCTAACATTAGCTAGAGCCTTGGATGACGGTGGGTCCTCAACCTCACTCCCAACCGCTACAGGTCAACTTGCCAGGAAGAGAGCAAGCAGCAGTTCCGGAGACTAAGCCTCCAGTCAGCAGCCGCAGCAACATGTGATCGACCAGTGAAAACAGAGCAGACAGCTCTAACTCCATGCCAGATCAGTAAACTTTCTGTTGCTGCCGTTACATAGGTTAGACCCGGCACTGGGGGCCAAACAAAGGTTCAGCTTCCAAGCTGCTGCCCGCTCTCCTCCTAGCAACGCAGTCCATAGCAGCTGGGAGCGAGGTGGAGGCACCATGGGGTGGCTAGCTAGTTAATTCTTGTCTCACTTTTGGTCTGATAAACAGAGAGAGAGCAGGGTGATGAGCTTGCAAATGTAATGTGTGAACCTGTCAAGTTGCAGTTACAGTTTACAGCCATGTCTGTAAAAATGTGGATGCCTCACACACCTCTTCTCCCCGGTAGCATAGAAGATCTATACAATCAGGACAGTTGCAAGGTGGACACCCAAGATTAGTGCCACCAATTCAGTATCTGACCAAATGTCTCCCCTTCTTTTCCTGAGACATGACATTAAGTAATGACCGGAAAATTGTTTAATGCAGAACATTATGATGTCACAGTGAAGTTAACCATTGACCTTTTTGGAAATAAAATGTCATCACTTTATCATTATATCCTATTAGACATTTGTGGGTAATTTTGTCATAATTAGTGAATGAATTCTTGAGTTATGGCCAAAAACATGTTTTGTGAGGTTGCAGTGGCCATTGATGAGTTCAAGTGGATGTTTGTGCCAAATTTGAAAAAAATCCTCTCAAGGTGTTGTTGAGATATTGTATTTGAAAGAATGAGGCAGACAAGGCCACAGTGACCGTGACCTTTGACCTTTGTTCAACAAACTCTAACCAGTTCATTGTTGAGTTAAAGTGGACATTTGTGCCAAATTTGAAGAAATTCCCACAAGGCATTTTTGAGATATTGCATTCACAATAACAATACAGATGGAAGGACAACCTGAAAAAATAATGCCACCAGCCACAGCTATCGCTGGCACAGAGGCATAAAAATCCAGCGTCTATAAATGCAGGTAACATTTGAGACAGACTAAACATTCACAATAATGATGGTGGAATGAAGCTTTAGGGAGTCGTTGAGCTCCAGAAGGAGGAGAAGAGGGTAGCTGCATGATGAGGACAGCCATAATGACCCCTTTCCTCCATGATATGCGAAATGTCTTCTTATTGCCCTCAGATATACAAAAACATTGAGTCAGCACACACTACTGCACAAGACACAAAGTTGTGTGTACAGGGTCAGTGACCTGTGATATTCACTCCATGTTTACACACACACTATGTGACACTGAAAATGAGTAGCTTTGTCACTGAACTTGACCTATTAGCAAGCATGCACTCAGGCAAAGGGAAATATGAGGGGACGTGTGCTTGATGTCATTATCTGTTAAGCTTATCATCAAAGACACAAACACACTCAGAAGCTAACACACACACACACACACACACACACACTTAAGGCATTAATATCTTTCCCTCTCACACACACACAGTCGGAAATTTCAGCATCTCTCTTGCATGTCTCATCACCCACATGCACCCACAACCACCACACCTTGCTGTCAGTCAGGTCGTAGATCTTTTGGCTGATGTAGGTGACGTCAGGTTTGGGCTCGTTGTGTGTGGCACGGCGGGAGATGTTGCGGTTGGGCTTGGACAGACGCAGGACGGAGCCCTCCAGACGGACATAAACGGAGTGGGTCAGGGTGGCATGGTACATCTCCGGGTCGTAGCTGTGGATCTCATTCATCCAGCCCTGAGAGATTGATGGGGTGGAGAGGAGACGAGTTTTAATTGACAGTAATTCAAAATCTATTCTCATAGCACATATACACACATCAGACTCACAGTCTAACACAAAGGATTTTGGGGTATACTCATATAGATGTCTTTAACTCCCCAATGGTGAATATAGCCAGAATGATACTGGATGTTTGAGATTTATATTGATCACCTGAGAGTTCAGGAAAGCCAGCAGCTACCTGCTAACGATGCTACCAGCTAAAGCCACTAACAGTGGCAACAATGTTAAAAAGAGCTAACAGTGTGAACCTTTGGGGGAAATGAAGGGTGGGAAATTACACTTCTGTGACGATGCCATCCTGCCACTGTGGGTCGGGACTGCATTATCAGCAGTAGTTGCCATATGAGCACAGTGCAAAGCTGCGGTGATTAGCTAGCCAGTCAGATTCGCACAGAGGGACTCACATGCACTAATATGCAGCCTGACTGTCTACCACAACAAAGAGCAGAGAAGCTCAATTGCAGCACACAGCGTGACTTCATTCTCTCTATATATAGGGGGTGGCAGTAGCTCAGTCCATAGAGACTTGGGTTGAGAACCAGAGGGTTGCCGGTTAAAGTCCCCGTCCAGACCAAACATAGAGTGTGGACTGGCAGCTGGGGATTGCCGGGGTGCCCTTGAGAAAGGCGCCAAACCCCCAGCTGCTTGGAACGCCTGTCCATGGACAGCCCCTTGGCTCTGATGTCTCTCCATTTAACGCATGTGTAGGTCCTGTTTGTGCACGTGTGTGTATTTCGGGCCTGTGTTTATATGAAACAAAGTGAGAAAATGGATTTCCTCTCAGGGATTTATACAGAAAAGTATATTTGACAGCGCAGATTGCAAAATGATGGCAGATGGAGAAAATAGTGAGGAGAGAAAAAAAAACAGTTCAGGATCATTTCAAGTAAAAACTCTTTATAGTGTCTCTTCTGCTAAACCAAACTAGCTTACTACAATAGCATTACGTCAATGCTTTAGCATCTCAACAAAAAGCATCTGGTCCATGAAGCGGACCCAACACAAGGTAACATTAACATTCGACCTAGCTTATCTTATCTTTTGTATACACCGTTGCTCTTTAATAAAGCCAAAGTATTTCTTATCTGATTACTCGATTAATCGATGGATTCATTTTTTCTTTTTTTTTTTTTTTTACAAACTGTGTAATGATGACCACATACATACAGTATCTTTGCATTCTCTGCAAAGCAATTTCTTATTTAACCCATATATCTGTGATTACCTAATATCATCATGTGTTGTTGGGTGCTACTCTTAAAACATGAAGAATGTGTTAGGAACAATTTTATCCATTGTTGTCAATCAACATTACTCCTCACAGTATTTTCTTAGAATCACAATCAAATCACATGCCAGTATAGTTCAAAATGGTGGTGGTGGTGCCACAAAGTTCATACAACACAACTAAAGATAAAGTGGGGCATCTGAAACACTGACTCTTTGTTGATCCTTGAAGGAACAGAAAGAGAAAGAGGAAGTGTGTCCCCACTGTTGCCCTGCACTTGGGTGCTCTGGGGTCTAACGTTCAAATGTGTGTATCATGTTCTGCACAACCGCAGAGCTCCTCTTTGGAACAGCTGTACCCCCCAGCCATAAGGCTCTCCTGTGCAACAGCTTGGTACCCACTGAGGCGCGCGCACACACACACACACACACACACACACATACGAGCACACATGCTTACATAACTCTCTACTCTCTACTAAACATTTCTCTTCTAGCAGAGTTCCTGCCGCACTGAGCGAGGTTAACTGAGAACAGGGGGCAAATGTGGTGGCGCTGTCACTGGAATGTGCGGAATGAAAAAACTGGAGACGTCACTGAGGAAAAAGTTTAATAACACCCCAATATATTGCTACTGGTCCTCATGAGAATGTACAGAGTTTAATTCTCATCCAACCTCCCACCTTATCAGTCCCAGAGGAGGCTGTGTGAGCAAAGCCAATTCAATTGGAACAACAGGGGAAATATCAGTGCTTGGCTAATGCAAAAGCGAAGAACATGTAGTCCCAAGATAAAAAACAAACGCTCTGTGGGACAACACTCCTACCTACTACGATTTCGCTTGTACTTGATAGTAAACAAACACAGACATTTTGCATTCTGTTCTCTGTGGATGGTTCCTCCATAAAATGCAGCACCTCAGCTATATATCACACAGATGCTATCAACTGCATGTGTAAAACCTGCAAGGCTAAATCTAAATTAGGTCATCTTGACTCTTGGCTACATAGACCAAAGTGTTTGTTGTGAGCTTGCATTAAAATCCGTGACAAATATAATGCTGCACAGAGACCTTGATGGTTGTCCTACAGCCAGTGAAGCGAGAACACCTGCTAGAACAGCCAAGGCTCTAAACAAGTTTACATTTTAAATTCATATAGCAACAGGTTCAAATTTGGCCATCCATGCCTTGATTTGTCTCACCTTGAAGGTTCCCGGTTCTTTGATATCCAGCTGGGCCACATTCCAGAACTCTATCCTTCGCCTCCCTCCTCTTGTCCCTGATGAGGAGCACCGAGTAGAGGACAGCCAGAGGACCAGCAAGGCCAACATGAACCCAGCTACTATCCCATGCACCACTGCACATACATATGGCGGCACCGGAAGGATTATATACCAGTATACCAACTGCGTCAGGAAGATGAGGCCAGTCACGGGCACAGTCTCCAACTCCTCTTCCTCCTCCTCCTCTTTCTCCTCCTCCTCTGTGTCAAGTTCACTACACAACCCAGTGCTACCAGTATGGGGCTGCCTGGACCCGGGACGATCCCCATCTGGTGTTTCTGTATCGGTGCATAACTCAAAGTCTTCACTGTACAGTTCACAGAAGTCCTCGTCTTCCTGTCGAGCCACCAGGGCCGACATAGAGCAGCGGCCCAGAGTGAGAGAAGGAGATCTAGGGAAAGTGGATGAGGAGGTCTGGGTAAGGGTCGGGGCTGGTGCCAGTGATGGGAAGGAGAAAAAAACAGAGTCCGGGCCCTTGGCCGTGGGGGTTTCTTCCTCTTCTGCTCCTTCCTCCTCCTTGATGCTATAGTTGTTGTTACCTTCCGCGTGTCCATTTATCGCTGCTGCTCCGCTGAGCTCTGACGCACTGGAGGACAACGATTTGGCACGATGGGTGGCACTTCCAACACCTCCCACACCAGACTCATCCCCCATGATCTTACTAAAAAGCTGCAGGGGGTCTGACATCACCTCTGACAGCCGCCGCTTGGTATCCTCTATCCTGGCCTCTACCTCTTGGACCTTGAAGAAAGACCTGCCATCTGGGGACATGATGGGGGAGGAGGGGGCTGTTTTGGAGTCTCCACCTGCTTGAGTGACAGTGACAGGGCTGGAGCATAAGCGAGGCTGGGAGAACTGTTTGAAGAGCTGCATGTTGCGGGGTGGAGGCCGCTGGGATGGCTGTACATGCTGTTGCTGATGAGGAGGGTGATGAAGATAGTGATGAAGAGGCCCTTCCGGATGTTCAGCCTTTGAAGTGTCCGTGGAAAGAGACTTAACAAAAGATTTCATTAAATGGCGGTGACGTGCATGCGGCGGCGCAACAGTTGCAGGTGCAGGAGCGGGTTCTCGAGACTCAACGTCATTGGACAAAGACCTGACCAGGCTGAGGAAAGGTTTGGAGGAGGACAGTGCTGCAGACTTACATGGGGAGGAGGAGCTGGAGCTTGTGGATGGAGGATTTACTGAGGGTCGGTCAGAGGGCCAGGAGGAGCTGGTGGGAGGGGTGGAGCTCAGGTGGGGTTGCGTGGAGGTGGGGATAATAGTCATGGCTGGAGAGGGTATGTGTGGCTGAGGGTCTAAGGGCTGCACAAACAGGGTGGTGGATGAAACAGGGAGCACAGCAGCTCCTGAGGAGGTCTCCACACCAGCACATTCAAACAGCAGCTCCTCTTTTGCCTCCAAGCCTGTAGTGACAGACTCGTCATCATCCCCTGCAGCTTCTAGACCTTGGAATCCCCGTACACCGTCAATCTCAGATTTAGCCTCAGTAGATTCAACAGGTACCCCGTAGAGCTCCTCTTCCTCGTCATCTTCCTCCTTCCCCAGAGCAGAGAAATGGATGGTGATGGTGTCACGAGAAAGGGAACGCTGCACCTGCAGCTTGGGTCCAGGGGCATGACGAGGGGGAGGAGTGTCAGCATGCTGGCCACTTCCCCGGCTGCTGCTGCTGCCCTGACTGCTCATCACCACCCTGCACAGGGCTCACAGCCTGGGAGACACACAGAGACAGACAAGGTACACTGTTAATAACCACAGAAACACTGAAATGAAACACTCGTGCAAGGAAGGAGGTTGAGAGATTGCAGTATAAATCAGCAATGTGATTAAATAACTTCAGAGTTCCCACATGCTACACACTCTTTATGCACATACACACACACGCAGCTCTCTATTCATCCTAATGTGAGTAGACTGGACAGGTATGTCCATGCTCCCCAATCCATTAGCCCTCATTATGCAAGGCTTCAGCTGACAGACTGAGTCGCTCTCAGGCCTGGCCTCTCTCTGTCTTACCAGCATCCTCCTCAGTCACCCCGACTATGGCAACATGATTAATGGGTTACTTCAGAACACATGAGCCTTGAGGAGGGGGGCCATCAGCAGCTCAGCTGTGTTACACCCTACCCTCCACAGGGGGCAGGCTGCAGCTGGCTAAATGCTGTGAGGTCATGAGGATAACAAGGGAGTAAACAAGGATGCTTCTCTGAGTAGTGGATGGAAATCATCTGTATTCAATAACTTTAACTTAAAACTGAGTTAATGGATCATTTTGTCCACTTGGAGGCAGTGCACAAGCTGAAAGCCATAAACTGTTTATAAAGATGGACAACATGTCTCCACTTCCTCCCACTGTACAGAAATGAAGCCAAAACATCCCAGATAGGGCCGCTGCCATCTTGTGCTGGCGATGTTATCTGGAGTAGTGCCACTGATTGTGAGCACAGCGACTGGCACACAAAGCTGTAAAGCATGATTTAAACCCCATTTTTAAAGCATCAAATAACTAATTAAAACCAAATTTATCAAAAGGAAAAGCACAAGAACTATCAAAAATGTAAGACATTATCTTTGGGAAAAATTTATTTGATGTGGACTTCATTTTTAGCTTGGCCCATGTCCCATCAGCTAACATGGAAACATGGAGGGGGTGGGGTTTATGCAGCCAGCCACCAGGGGGCGATCAAGATGTACTGGCTTCACTTTTTGGATGGCTGTCATAACTTACATCTTCATACACATGTCTATGCTGAAAACATAACACTGACATATTGTCACCTTATAAAGTTGACATGGCTAACATGATAGCAGTTAACACATCGCTCTAGTGACCCCTCTAGTGTCAGTTTTGGGTGTGTTAGTTTCTGCTAGTTGCGTGCATACAGTTCCTTAGTCTCAGGCAACAAAACTACTTGGTCAGGTTTAGAAAAAAGATCATAGTTTGGGTTAAAATGATGTTTGGTTTCACCCAGGACACAAAAAACGTCTCAAGGGTGAAAGTCCCGTGTTTCGTTTCAGAAACAGAATCAGAAATACTTCATTGACCCCTGAATGAAAATTATGATTCATTAGTTGCTCCGATGTAAAGAGTAGAGAATTTTAAGAAGTGGGAATAAGAGTATGAAATAGAAGTATGTAAATATAAAGTGATCATATAAAATAAAAATGTGCATTATGCTACAATGTTTAAAACTGTAGAATTAAACATTGTAGCATAATACACATGATTTTGATTTCTATTTTAAACGTTTCAGGTTTTTCAGGTGGCTAAAAACTAACCGACTGAGGCAGCGTTTGCTTAGTGCCATTTGATTCAATATACGTAACGCAGGTGGTTTCCACCCATAAGTTACTGTAAACAAACACTGTGATTTGGTCTATTTAGCTTTGATTTGGTCTCTACCAACTCTTGAGGGAAATATCTGGATCTCTAGCAGCTAAATGTTATATTCACCAGCGAGTCACTAACTATGTCTGTCTGCCATTTGGTGCTGTGCATGTAGCTATTAGCTTGTCAGTTTATCAGAGCTTTTTAATTTAGTGCTGCTGCTGGAAGTGGTGATAATGAGAGCTAAAATGCTCTCTATAAATATGGGGAACTGCAAAATCGGGTGGTAATTCTCTGTGGGTTCACCACTAAGAGCAACATCCTTTACATTTCATCCATTTTCCCCATAAAATATCAGTAAGTGCAGCTTTAAACTGATGTGGCAAAAGAAAGATAGAGAAATTAAAATTATAAAGCTCAAAATTCACCACTTTCAATTGACAAAATTGCTCGAGATGAAGATATTCTTGTTAGTCTTTTCACTAATTTATATTCATTGCTCAAATATTGTTCTGATACTCCTCATTTCATTTGTTGCAGTCATCATTTAGTCCTTAAATTGAATCATTTACTAGGCTATAACTGCCATGTATTGCATTATTACTGTGCTTTATGGGATCGTAAAACACATAAACATATACATAAATATAACAAACCCTCCTTCCCCCACCCACGCATAACAATATGCAGGACATAATCACACAACAAGGCAGCTGTTAGGCTCCAGTGATCACAGGAACAAGGCGTCTATTGTACGGTCTTAACACAGTGGAACCAAAGTCATTCATCATGCAGTGATTTCACCGAATGAGGCCTCAAGTTGTTATTGAGTTATTGTGCCTGTTTATTCTTCCACATCACATAGAGTCCATCATCCCTGGTTAGCATTATCAAACAGGCAGGGCGAACACACACAGAAGGACACACAAACATGCTGTTTGCACACACACAGAGTGACTCTGGCTTTCTGCTGGTTGATAGAAATGTCCTGTAATGAAAGGAGGAGGGACAGAGGGAAACAACAGAGCAGTTAGCTTGTGTGATTGTCTGCATTTCTGAGAAAGTCCTGGCGCCCCTCGGGGCTCTCCGGTTGGCACTGCATCTCCAGAGATTGTATTTGCTGGGATGGAATAACAGAGCATTTGACTTTCCCAGCCAGCCTTTAACTTGGCTGTGCTAAAGTGGGTTTTATGTGTGTCATTTTGAGTATGTGTGTGTGTGTGTGTTGCTTCGGCCATGGCTGTGCTGGGGGCACAGCAGATCGAAACAAAAACAAGGAGAGGGAGAGACAGAAAAGAGAGCAACAAAAAGCAGGAACACGAAGAGCCACGGGGGGCGGGGGGGGGTCTGTAGAGGATGCAGACGACCTTTCAGAGACAAGCTTTTTGAAGTGGGATTCACTTAAGGAAGGCTGAGATGGAGAGAGAAAATGGGGAGGATGACACAAACAAGAGAGAGTGATGGAGAGGAGGGAGGAGACAAATGAGTAGGGAGACAGAGCCATGGAGATGGAAGTGGTTGTTGTCGTCACCAAAGCCTGAAGGACGGATTAAAACACTGTGGAGGTTGACGGGGTGAGCAGAGAAGGATGGTTCCAAGTTTTGCTGGAGTAGGGTTACAGGAGGGCTCAGCCAAAAGACATACTCTACAAATGTTATTATGCATGTGTACTGGACTGTATACTAGACAGAAATTATGATCAAAAGAAAATTAATCAGCAACTATTTTGATTATCAAGGACTTACTTCTGAGCACAACTGCCAATCTTTTATGGCATTTCTCTGTATGTTTCAATATAGTTACAGACAAGTGGCAAAAAACCAACAGAGAAGTACTAAAAACTGCAGTTCACTGAATGGCCTTAATTAAGGCGTAAAATTACATATAATTAAGGGCGTGCTGCTTTGAGTGACAGGCTGTCTGCCAATAGTGTCCTCAGCTTCTCGGTCAGATCTAAGCCTCACTCCTCCACAGCACCAGCCTCTCGCCCAAACATGGTCACTTCTGGCTCCACAAAACCAAGATGGCAACAGCCAAAATGACAAACTCGCAGTCAGTCGAGTCTCAGCATCAGTTACAGTTACGACTGAGCTACAGCAGCACGGAAAGCAGCATTAGAAGTGTCCCGGTACATAGCATTAGCAGCCGGCTCCTCCTCCGCTGTATCCCGGCAGCAGCGTTAGCAGCAGAGAAGCAGGACTTGCTCGAACGGTCCGCTGGAAAACCAAAGATCAAGGACGCGGTGACGCGGCCCTGCCACGGCAGCTGCCCATGGGCAAACAAATCACCCCCAATTTCCACCAGATGCGTGTTGGTTGCGTCTGCGCTCCGGCACAGCAGCGGAGCCGACAGGATTCAGTTCTAGTCTTCTTCTTCTAGGACTTCTATTTTTGCCGAACGCCGGAGCACAACGCAGCAACACAGCACAGAGCAGCAACCTCGAATCTGTAGGGGAGGGGGGGCGGACACAACTCGTGGCAGTATTTTGAATTTGAGTGCAGTAACCGTTTTGGCCACATTCTTACATACAGCGCCTTTAAAATTTCAGTTATTAAAACCGTGTTTGATTACAACACCTTCAAAATCTAATGGCAAATACTGTCCAGCATTAACCAAAGTGGGGAACAATGTCTCACATTTGATATGGTTTTCATATGTTCACATTAGGTATTGTTTTTTAATGTTTATTAAAACAAAAACCTTCAAAGCACTGCTCAATTTTTTTGCGATTTTTGTAATCTCTATAAAGGGATACGTGGATATGTATGCAGAATGGATGATGATGTAGGTAAAGGGATAAGATATTGGCATCAGCAACGCTCTGGTTACCGTTTGTAGTCCGTTCGTAGTCCAAGTATTGTTGATGAACCACATTTGAACTACAGGAAAATAGTCTGTGTGGAGAGGTGGAACACATTGGTCGACAAGCCATCTGGGGACCCATCGGCTATACCCTGATGAAAATGTAGCTTTATATAAATTTTTTAATTTATTCATCTGCAGTCATATGCCGATATCTGATTAGCCGAAATGCCCGGTGCATGGAAGGGGAAGTATTGGCCTGGATATCCACTGGGTACACCGGATCAGCCCAAAATATTGGCTCCCACCCACAGAGGATTTATTGTCACACGACAGCTGGTGGGTTCTTACATTGTGGTTTTCAATATAAAACTTATTTTATTTTAGTGTGTGTAAATTTTGAACATTAATATAGTCAGTGTCATACTTGTGTTTGGCCATGTCATCAAACTAGTTTGCTGTCTCTGTCAAGTAGCTGTCCGTTCATCACTCGGTCTACAGCAGGAAACAGCACTTCTAAATAAAAACTCCTTGCTAAAAAATTCACTGTACTTCAAAAATAAAGTGTGTTTTTTACAAAC